AAGCAAAGGTTTCAGTCCCAGTGTGGTGGGCAGCTGCAGGTGCTGTGCATCAGCTGACGGAATATTTTGGCATTAGGAAGTAGAGCCTGAAATCAGGAATTCTCTGTCAAGTCTCTTTGTTGTTTAAACTAATCCTTCAGTGGTGAATAACATCACCAGTGGTGCCCAGCATCTCTTTTTGGCTCTGAGCTCAGCTGTGTTTGAGCTGCATTTTGAGGGTGATGTTTCTCACTGTGCCAAATGGATCCAGTGGCAGCCAGCCTTCTCCTCCTCCTCCATGTCTGCCATTGTTCTGGATGCCTGTGTGACCCAAAACAAGACAGTTCAGCCAGCAGAAAATTCCCAGTGATTAATTTTCTGTCCCCTTAATGAGCTGAAATAGCCATGAGTTTAGATTCAGGTCAGAAAGGAGCTCAGGGTTGCATGGCTCAACTCCTGCAAAGCAAGGCCAGCTTTGGGTGGTTAGATTGCTCAGAGCTCAGGTGAGCAACACAGAGATGCTGCTTTACTGAGGAAGAGTTGATTTTTTTATGTAAGAGAGGCTCCACTTGATTTTCTGAAAATGTGGCTCCTCTTAGTGGCTTGTACAAGGAAGAAGAAAGTGAGAATGTCTCTGGCAGCTGCTCTTTGTTGGTCTGACTCTGTCACCAGCTGAATCATAGAATGACAGAATATCCTGAGCTGGAGGGAACCCAAGGATGATCCAGTCCAGCCCCAAACCCTGCCCAGATCCCCCAACAGCCCCACCCTGGCCATCCCTGCAGCGCTGCCCAAATTTCTCCCCCATCCTTCATCTCCCCCATCCCTCACTCTCACACAACCATGGAATGTGCTGAGCTGGAAGGGACCCACAGGGATGATCAGTCCCAAAGCCAAACCCTGCCCAGAGCCCCCAGCAAGCCCAGCCTGGGCATCCCTGGAGCTGTGGCAGCCTCGGGGCCGTGCCCATTGCCTGGGCAGCCTGGGCAGTGCCAGCACCCTCTGGGGGAAGAGCCTTGCCCTGATCTCCAGCCTCAGCCTGATGCCTCAGGTTTAGCTTTCATATTTTTCACATTCTGCGCTGCTTTAGTGTGTGGGTCTGGGTTTCATATTATGGGATGCTGAGCTCTCTTCACAGAGTAGGGAGATAAAGCAATTCCTGCTCTAGCTGGGGACCAAGGGCAAATGATCCAAATGTCAGGCCCAAGAGCACAAACAACCTGGGCTGAAGAGAGAAAAACAAGCAGGATGGGACTGCATGGTGTAAAGCTGGAATTGGACAATTAACTCTAATATGCAAATGGAGCAGAACTGATCAAAGTGAGAGACCCCATGACTGGTTGTGCATTTTGGGACCATTTTGGTTCACCTGGGGTGCAGACCTGNAACTCTAATATGCAAATGGAGCAGAACTGATCAAAGTGAGAGACCCCATGACTGGTTGTGCATTTTGGGACCATTTTGGTTCACCTGGGGTGCAGACCTGGCTGGGCTCTTGTGCTGCCTAAGGTGGATCCATTGAGGACTTTTAATAAATCCCTGCTTTATTCTTTAACTCCATCCAGTCTCTGCTCTAGATCAGCCTCCACAGAGCATCAAGCCTGCCCTGGCCCAGCTCCAGCCATGCCCTGGCTGCTGTCCCTGTCCCAGAGCAGAGATGGGAGCTGCCCCTCGGGAGGAGCTGCAGATCCCTGAGCTCTGCCCTCAGTGTGCCCTGCTCCAGCTGCACACACCAAGAGCCCTCAGCTGCTCCTCAGGTGGCCCCTCTTTGGACACTCTTTGATACCTTTAGATTCTTAACAATTAAGATGTAAGAGTAGTAAGAATAAGATGCAGTAAATTGAAGTTTTTGGCAGTTAAAGGAGACTTTGGCAGTGCTTGGAGCTCGAGATAATCCTGCCTGCTGGGCACAGCTGTTTGCACCTCTGGAGCTCTATGGGTGCAGGCTGCAGGCAGGGCTGTGCTGGGCACTGATCCCTGCATAGCAATCCTGTGTTTCTGGATCACATCTGCATGACAGCAGGGGCTGAAATCCTGCAGGAAAATAACAGGCACCTGAAAAGGAGCTACTGGCTCCTTTAGGAAGCATGCAGTCACTGGAAGTGGTGCCTTGGGGGTGAGGCAGAGTGTGGCGAGCTGTAACCCTGTGCTTTGGGGGCTGCACCATTGATGTGCAGCTGGTGGCAGGACTCTGCTCAGTGCATCTGCTAGGGCAGCAGAAATGTGTTAGCACAGCCTGGTGTTTGCTCAGATTCTGGTTCAAATCCAACAAAAAAGCCAGGCAAGTCTGCTGGATCGTGGGAGGATAAGAGCTCATTTCATTAAATCACTGCAGGTCAGAAAAATGTCTGTGCATTGCATCAGTGTGATGGAATCAGCCCCAGGGAAAACATCAGTGCCTGTCCAGGGCTGTGCTCAGGGCTGTGCTCAGGGCTGTGCTCTTCAGCCCTGCTGGGCACACAGCACCAATCTAGGTCACAGTCTGTGTCTCTGTGGCCTGAGCTGGCTGCACATTTAGATGTAATTTAGCCTGTTTGAGTGAACAGCCTCCCTTGCTGTGGCAGCTCCTCCATCCCTGCAGGAGCTGTGGCTGTAGAGGGACCAGGGATGTGCTGCCAGGGGCACAGGCACAGTGGGGACTCCTCTGGGTGGCTGAATGACATGAGGTGTCCCATCAGGGGATCTGCATGCACCCAGTTATGGGATTTTATTGTCCAAATCCCAAAACCAGTTCTTCAAGCCTGGTAAATTACTATTATGTGTACTGTCTTTACAGCTGAAGTGGGCGATAGATTTTTCTTGCATTTATTTCACCAAAAGATGAAATCACTTATTAAAATAACTTATTAACATAAGATTATACAGTGAAAGCTTGCACCAGGAGTTCATCTGACTGCAGTCTCCTTTCTCCTGGCAGTGATGTGGTCCCAGCCTGGGAGCAAAGGGTGCAGTCCAGCTGCTCTGCCTGCTGCATGCCAACTTCCCAAATGCACCATTTCTCTGGGTTTGTTACTAGTAAAACTGAGAAAACATGTTTGCCTCACAGCTTGTCTGTAGAATTCTCAATTTTTCTCCACATTAGAGAAACCTCATTATGGCACAGCTTGGTTTAGACACTGAGTGTTGTGCTGATCTCAAATGAAATGCTCCCTGCCCTGGCTTCCACATCCTTTTGATATTTAAGTTTCTTTGAAGTATGGAGAGTTTTAGAATCATGGATTGGTGTAGATTGGAAGGGACCATAAATCTCATCCCATTCCACCCCTGCCATGGCAGGGACACCTCCCACTGTCCCAGGTTGCTCCAAGCCCTGTCCTTGGACACTTCCAGGGATCCAGGGGCAGCCAGAGCTGCTCTGGGCACCCTGTTCCATTTGATCTTTATCCTTGTTCTGTCAGCTTATGGGTTTCTAATAAATGGTTTGATGCAAACATTTCTCTGCTGAGATCAGTCACTGCACACCTGAAGCCAGAGGCCCCACGATTCCATGATCAGCACCTGCCTTACCTGTGCCATTCCTCCTGCAGCTCAGTGCCAGCTGTCACCTGGAGCAGGTGACACTTCTGGAGTACCATCAGCTCTAAGAAGCACCTGAGCTATTCATTCATTTTCTTAACAGCAAAATAATCTTGCTTTTAACACTAACAGCTCAGGCAAAAAGTAGTAAAACCCTGTTTCTGCCACATTCTCTGTGTCTGCCTGACACAAAAAAGTCTTTATTCAGGAAGTCAGATACATCCTGATGATTGTGCTTCTTCCCAGCTTCTGATACAGAATGCACAAAAACAAGGAAATAAAATTGAAACTAAACATGCCTCCACGGCAAGCAGAATGGGGCTGGATCCTGGATGCACTGTGTGATTTGGGTTGGAAGGGACCTTAAAGCTCATCTCTGTCCAACCCTCTGCCATGGCAGGGACACCTTCCACTATCCCAGGTGATCCAAGCCCTGTCCAGCCTGGCCTTGGGCACTTCCAGGGATCCAGGGAGAGCCAAGGGAATAAATCCTTGCTCACAGTAACTGCTCCTAAAACCTCATTGCAGAAACCTTAAAAATCTCTGTATATGCCCACAGTTGTACCATCCTGGTATCAATCTAATTGCACTTTTTTTCCTTGGCTAAGACTTTTTTCCTTCACTACAAAGCCCCTGATTTCAAAAGTGTTTGCCTGTGTTTCTTCCTAATTCCTTTGCCCCTATGTTGAGGTTTCTAGATGTGAGAAACAAGACATCCTAAAGATCACTCTGCAGTTTTCAAAATGCAGCAGGATTTTGGTTTGTTTCTTTTTAGCAGAAATTTAAAACAGAAGGAAATACTGGTCTGCTAGGCTGGGCCAGCACATCTCTGGCCTTTAGCAGGCTTGGGGAAGATGGCTGAACAAATTTAGGGGTTGTATGGGCAAGTATAGCAGAAACCTGATGTTGTGATGGAAAGAGTGAGAAGATGAGAAGGAACAGACCTGGCTCTGGTTTGTGGATGAGCAGGGCAGCTGGTCCAGCAGAGATGAGCTGTTGCTCAGGACCAGGAGCAGTAATCCCTGCAGGCAGGGAGGATGGAGCTGGTCCCTTCCACTGCAGTTTGCTGGGAATTTAGGGACAGATTTGACATCAGCCTTGAGAGAGGGGATTTCCAGTGCTTGCAGCACTGGCTCTGTGAGTGTCAGACAGGTCTTGGCTGATCCCTCCTAGGAATGCTCTCAGAGCCTTTTCCGTGGCCACTGGCAGGTCACTGCTTGCAGAAGGAAGAGATGTAGGTGCCAGTTATTTTCAGGAAGGAAGGTATGGCTGCAAGCATGATCCTTCTGGAGTTCAGCCCATCCAGGTTAAGCCCCAGTGTCCCCCAGCTCAAGTTCTGAGCTGGGGGTCTGTATGTTTGATTTTAACTCTGGCATGGAGAGCAGTCCCCCCACGCAGGGGTCTGCGAGTTGTCCAAATTTTTCCATGTGTATAAAGATGGAGGCTGCTCTTGTTTTGATTCTCACCTGATTTAATTACATTTGCTTTTTCTCTTTTTATTTCAGTTGTGATTCCAAAGAGCCCTTTACCTGCCTCCGAAGTAAACTCGGAGAAACCTAGCATGCACAGTAGCACAAAGACTGGTTTGGGGCATCAACAAGGGCAAAGGCGTCGCAAAACAGGGAAGAAGCGTGGTCGAACGACCAAAACACTAATCCACCACCCCATGCCTACACCCTCCAAGTCAGTGGAGCCTTTGAAATTCCCCAGAAAGAGAGGCCCCAAGCCTGGCAGTAAGGTAAAAGCTGATGCTGATGCAGGCGGGTGCTGCAGGTCCTGCCATGGGTTGGTGCATGCGTGTGTTTGTGCACATCTGGCTCAGCCTCTGGCTGGGTGACTGCAGCAAGTAGGAGAGCAGAGGGGTGTGTGGGCTGAGAGTGTCCTCAGAGCCCAGCCCCAGAGCTGTAGAGAATGTCTGTGTCCTAAAGATCATTTCCATCAAGAATCCGTGGCTTTGGAAGTGCATTGGCTGTGGAGTAGCATGGCAGATGCTGGGAGCATGCCAGGATGGCCAAAGGGTAGAGTAAGCTCTCCTGTCCTTTGTGTGTGGCTAGTCTGAGTCAAACAGAGGTGGCAGATCCCAGGCTTGTGGTTTGTAAAATACACACATGTTGATTGCTAGGTTCTTGAGACACCCCATCATCACCATCAGAAATGTGTCGTGTTCCACAGTGCCTTGTCTGTTGGATGCACAGGAGAGAGTGTAGTGATCATGGGTGGTAAAGGAGAGCAGGGGTAAAAGGAGAAATATCTCCTCTTTTTCTGCAGAGGAAACCTAGGACATTGCTGAACCCAGCACCCACCTCTCCAACAACCAGTACCCCAGAGCCAGACACAAGCACTGTGCCCCAGGACGCTGCTACAATCCCCAGCTCTGCCATGCAGGCTCCCACAGGTAAGGAGGGTCTTGGACCACGTTCTTGACAGGATTGCACAGTTAGGAGCTGCAGCAGGCAGGCAGCAACTCCCTGAGAGTCCCATTTCTGCCTAAGGCTGTAACCCAGCAATCCTTACCCCTCCAGAGAGGCTGGCCTGAGAGAGGCACATGAGTCCAGAGCAGCTGTTCATTTATCTTTCTATTGGAAATAATGAAGTAGGAAGGTTGCAAGGCCACCTGTTGAGTGCAAGGACCCCTTTCCCCTGCATGCTGGTGACTCCACAGCTCTGCAGATACGTTTGTGGTCCATTGTGCCCTGGGGCAGTCGGGTGTGCAGCACCCCTTGTGAGTCCCCCACCGTGCAAGGCACAGCTGCTGGAACTGCACAAGGGGCAGAGGAGGTGCTGAAGGATTGTGATCTGCCCAGCTCCAGCCAGGATATCAAGGCACACAGGGACAGGAGGGAATAGGGGAGGAGAAGGAGTAGCAGTGAAGAGTATGCAGTGCTGCAGGATGAATCTGGTCAGGAAAGTCTAATGCAAAGCTGCTTTTGACATGTTGAGTCAAGCACTGGATATGGGCTGAGCCCTCTGTTTCCCCAGAATGTAATTGGCCAGTTTTCAGAGGAACCTAAAGAAGCCAGTTTCCCTAAAAAGGAAACACTGTGGGAACCTCTAGAAAGTGAGAGCTGCATTCCTTCTTCCCCGCTGAACATCACAAGCCACCTTACCTGGCTGGCATTGAAAGAACTTTACAGCCTGACTGCAGGGGAGAGCATGGGAGAAACAGCAGCAGTTTGGAAGGTGAGCTTGAGGCAGGAAGATTTTGGAGGGGGTTCCTTCCCCTCTAGAAGCGGCTCCACTGTGAGGATGCAGTCAGGCAGTCGTGGTGGATTCCACTTTGTCAGTGATTGCACAGTCTTAATATCTCAGCATCTCTCAGGTTGGATTTTAGGCATCTGTTTCTTGCTTTCTTGAGTGGGTTAACAGCAAACACATTTCTCATCTTGGCAGTTTGCATTTACTTGAACAAGAACGGCAGCACTGGGCCCCACCTAGACAAGAAGAAAGTTCAGCAGCTGCCAGACCATTTTGGACCAGCTCGAGCTTCTGTTGTCCTGCAGCAAGCAGTACAGGCCTGCATTGATTGTGCTTATCATCAGAAAACAGTCTTCTCCTTCTTAAAACAAGGCCACGGGGGAGAGGTGATCTCAGGTGAGAACGAGCCCGCAGCACTTGGCCTCCTCCAGAGAGGTTGTTGCAAGAATTCCCTCGTTGGAAGATGTCTGTCCTGAAGCTCGCTGCAGCCACAGGCCAGGGGCAGACACAAGAGTTCTGTCTTCTCTTTCTTGCCACACGTGTGTGTCAGTGAAGCAACAGCTGGCGGCTGACTCAGAGCGGAGCAGTTCCCATGGCCCGCGGGCACAGCTCAGTGCTGGCACCAGCCTGGGCAGCAATCTTGCCAGCCCTGGGAAGAGCCACACCAGGGGGGATTGCACAGCTCCTCATGGAAAGACAAGAAATACCCCGGGTTTTATTTCTCCTTTAAGCCCTTGCCTAGCTGGATCTGCCCCTCCTGGAATCTTTTCCATTCCCTCGGACGCGGCTGCCCCGGCCCCGCGCTGGGTGCAGCAGGCTGGTCCTGGCCTGCCCTGGCAGAGGAAGGCTTTGTTGGCTCTGAGAGCCCAAAGATGCTGAGATCCAGGAGCTGCCTGCGCGGCCCTGGGCGTAGCCTCCCGCCCTGGCGGGGGGTTCACGTGTTGGGCTCTGTTTGTTTCTGTCTCCAGCTGTGTTTGATCGGGAACAGCACACTCTGAACCTGCCAGCAGTTAACAGTATCACCTACGTCCTCCGCTTCCTGGAGAAGCTGTGCCACAATCTGCGCAGTGACAACCTCTTTGGGAACCAGCCTTTCACTCAGCACAGCCACATGCAGCGCTCTCACCAGTACGACCACGACAGGTATCTACCAGGTAGGAGCTGGGGGGGTGGCACTGTAGGGACCCAGGTTTTGTCTCTTATCTCAGAAGGCAGGCTCCTGTTCCAGAGCCCTCTCCCAGGGTTCATTACATCACACCCAGTGTCGTGTACACACTCTTGTTGTGTAGGGTTCCAGTTGCATTTTCTGCCTGTCAGTTTGGTTTCCATCTCAGCTGGAGGTTTCCGCTCATCCGTGCTGTCTCCTTGTCTTCCCTCCTCCCCTCGTCCCCCAGTCCTTCCCACTTCCTGTGGTCTGATTGTGGTGACTTCATCCAGCTAGGAATTCAGGTGAAAGATTGCAGGAGAAGGGACAGTGATAACATGCAGCAAGTAAACTGCAATTAGAAATTAATTAAAGCAGAGTGGTTTCCACACTGGCTGTGGATCTGCTGGCATCAGCCAGGGCATCCAGTCCTGGTAACAACGTGGGGTTCTTGTTCAGGGGCGATGCTCATGCTCAATCTGAGGCAGAGGTGGTTTTGTTTTCCTTGGCATAGCCCTGGTAACAACGTGGGGTTCCTGTTCAGGGGTGATGCTCATGCAGTAATCCAAGGCAGAGGTGGTTTTGTTTTCCTTGGCATGGCATTGAAGCGGCTCCAGCTCACCCCAGCAAGACAGCTCATGCCACGGTGCAGATTATCAGGCTGCAAAACTGCTCTGAAGTAAAAGCAGTGGAAAACAAGCTCAGCAGTTCCCCCACAGTGCTGGGCAGTGGTGATGGCTGCCCACAGACTGCTGGGGGTTCTGGGGAGCTCCTGCTCCAGGAATGTCAGTCATGGAGAGGATCAAAGGCTGTCTGTGCCCTCTTTGGTGGCTGACAAGTGCTGATCTCCTCTCCTGTCTTGCTTTCTTCCCCCTCTAGTCAGCAAGTAGCTGTTGTGTTGTTTGAGGTCTTTCCAAAGTTAATCCTTTGCATAATTATGGTTCTGGCAGGAAAAACAAAAGTTGTATGAATGTAAAAAGATGGGCACTTAGAAGAACTGTTTAAGGAGAAATTGGTAAGCATGAGGTGTAGGAGCCACAGCCAAAGGCCACAGTGCTTTTCAGTACACCTAACAAGGAGTCATTGCACCTCACAAAGATTCATTGCACCTCACAAAGATTCATTGCACCTCACAAAGCACCTTAGGCAGAGTCTGGAGAGCAAGAGGATCTTCCCATCCTCTGCTTCCTCCTGCCTGGAGCCAGCAGGGCCACGAGCAGAGGAGCTGTAGGATATGCAAGGACAGGAGCAGCATGACTGGTTACTGAGAGTGGAGGTTTTTTCCTGAGGAACCCTCAAATAGAAGAAATCCCCATGTTTCAGTGTGGAGGTACCCTCACATCATGAGAGAGAGCATGAGGGAGGGAAAGCACCCGGCTCTGGGCATGGATCAGCTCCCACACAGAGTTTCCAGCCTCCATGAGAGGTCAGTGATGGCTGTGTCAAGAGTTGGGCTCTGCTGGGCAGAGTGGAAAAATATAAATCAGAATTCAGGGAAACTCAAGCAGAGCACCAGATCTGCCACAATGTTGTGATCTACCCATCCTGAATTCTGATTCAGAGTGTTTGCAGCACTTAAAGAAAAATCAACCACAGTCAGAGGTGTGACAGCACCTAGTCCTGCAGTTCATCCTGATCTCTGAGCTCCTTGGGCATCTGCTCATGTAACACCTTTTTCACCTGAAAGAAAGTGATAATCTGCACATCACAGTGCTCCTGGTGAGGGCAGGGAAACAGTGCTGGTGATTTTGGGAAGTTTGGGCTGGTCATGGAGGAATGAGGGTGGAGCTGTACATCCTTCAATCACACCAGGTGTCAAGGCTGCTGTGGTCTCACACTGAGCTCTGCATGTCCTGCCTTGTTCCCTCTGCAGGACAGGAATGTGTTGTGTGGGGCTGGTTCTCCCAGTGAACAGCCACTGGTTGGGACTGGGAGCTGCTCTGAGTTCCCAGGACAAAATGACTTTGCAGGAGCACCCTGGGGGTGCCATGGAGGGTTGGGGTGTGTGCTTGGGGCACAGGGAAGGTCTGCAGTGCCCCTTAGTTCAGCACTGTGCTGCCATTCTGACTGAGTAAATGGAAATAAGGAGGAGCAGGCTGAGTTGTGCATCAGGAACAGCCCTGGTTGCTGTTCACAGCTCCATGAACATGATGGGACCTGGAGCTGTCAGAAAGCACAGGACTGGAGGGACCCTCTGGGCCACAGAGCCCTGGCTCCTGCTGCTACAGCACCACACACATGGAGTTTCTTGGGTTTACTGTGGACTTGTGGATTTTGCTTTTCCACTGGAGACTGCTCCAGGGTTTTATGCTGAGATTTTAGAAACTATGTTGTAATTTCCTGCCCTGATTTATTCTTGGGCAACTTGGTGTCTGTGTCTCCTGGTCTTAATATTGTCTTTTAGCTTAACTTGGTTCTCTTTCTTCTGGAGTTAGTTGCAGAGCAGTTGTAGCCCTCAAAGGAATTCATCTTTTCACTGCTTTTTGCTCTCCTCAGACAGTGTTGGTTTGACCAAAACTTCATGGGGTGTCCAGAGTGCCACCCAGCACTCTGGGGAGGGGCTCACGAGGACCTGGTGCCACAGCACTGGCACCACCATGGCCACAGGAAATGTCTCTGCAGTCACTTTGAGCCTCTGTGTCCTTGTACCAGGTGGTGATCAGCCTGTCCTGGTCACATAAACTGTTCTTGTCATCACTGGTGTCACCTGCAGATCACATGGGGCAGTGCTGCAAGTGCACATCTGGATTTGGCTGCTGGATTTTCCTTCTTGCTGGTTCTTGGTTCTGTGTATATATATATATATATATATATATATCCTTCCTGCCTGATTTTAAATGCTGCTTTGTCTGACCTGACATGGGAAGGCATCAGCAGATTTCATTGGTAAATCTCTTAAATTTCTGCCAGGGTAATTACAGTTATCAAATGATCCTGGTCTCAGGGGTGATCCTCAGGCAGATTCACTGCCAGTCTCATGTTCCTTCTCAGTGTGCTGCCAACAGTTTTACCTCTCAAATCAGGTTTCTGTGCATAGAACAAGGCTCCTGGTAATTCGTGTTCTGTCTCAGCTGGCTCTGTGTGTAACATCTTGCTGAATTCCAGGTGTATTACATTGATGTCTCTTCCCTCATGTGATATCAGGATTTCCCATCACAGGGAGGATGTTGGGTTGGCCTCCTCTGATGAACACCTGCTGTAAAATGTGCCCTGTGTGCTTCCTGCCCTTTCCTTCAGAGCCTGCCACAAACCTTGTGGTGCTGCTGAGGCCAGACATAAGCATTTTATTGTAAAAATCATTTTCTCCACCTATTTTTTCAAATATTAGCACCACATTTCAAGTGACTGTCAGTAATTCAGTGCTGAGTTCTGTTAGAATTTACTGCAGCAGACCCAGAGTTTCAGGTGCACTTCAGGTGCACTGGCATTCTTGGCTTCCTCTGCATCCTTAAGTCTCCAGTTTGAGGACATTCAGTTGTCTGACTTAGTGGTGGATATTTTGGTTCCTGTCCTGTTTCTTTTATCCTTAGAGCTTTGCCCCCAATGCTCAGCATGGCTGCAGCTGGAAGTGAATCCCAGAATGGTCTGGGTTGGAAGAAACCTTAAAACTCCATCTCATTCCACCCCTGCCATGGCAGGGACACCTTCCACTGTACCAGGCTGCTCCAGACCCCATCCAGCCTGGCCTTGGGCACTGCCAGGGATCCAGGGGCAGCCACAGCTGCTCTGGGCACTTGTGCCAGGGCCTGCCCACCCTCAGGGAAGAATTTTTTTCCACAAATCCAGTCTAAATCTACAATCTTTCAGCATACTTGGTGTCTGTGTCTCATGGTCTTAATATTGTCTTTTAGCTTGACTTGCTTCTCTTTCTTCTGGAAGTAGTTGCAGAACAGTTGTAGCCCTCAGAGGAATTCATCTTTTCACTGCTTTTTGCTCTCCTCAGACAGTGTAGCTGAAACACAGACCCATCTTTGCCTTTGCACTGTCTCCAAACACAGAATGAGTTAAAAACCTCCCTTCATCCTGCACTCCCCATCCTGAGGTGCACAGCCTCCTTTTATCCAAGGAAATGTTCTGCTTGTTCTCATCAACTTTCTCAAAGTGAACATTTATCCACTGAGATTTGGGGTCCTTCCCTCTCAGATTATTTCCTCTTTGGTGATCACATTCATGAGGTTTATGTCATTTTTGGACTGAAGACATTTTCCTTTTATTCCTGATAATCTGAGTACAGCTCTGTCTGTTACTCCATTTCTTTATTTTCTTAAAACTTGTCCTTTAAAAACAATTCTCTTTTTGGTTTATGCTCTTATTAATTTACACCAACCTCACTTCTGACTCCTAGAATTAACTTCTATAACCTGACCTGTTGTGTTTGCAGTATTTTAACATCAACCACTTAAAAAAAAAAAAGCTGAAATGCCAAAACCTTATGGAAAAACCTTTGTAAAGCATCACCTTGTGTTGTGGTTCTGTGGCTGTTGGGTGAAGAAGGTTGTGCAGTTTGACATAAGGGTAGTGCAGAGACATTACCAAGAGCATGGGTTCCACTCTGGGCAGTGAGGGGGAATTTGTTTTTCTGGCAATGTCACAGTGATTTTTTGGTGATATGGAATCCCAGGGCCTCAGTGCAAGCAGATTTTCATTTCCCTGAAGGATATTGATTGAACAGGAACCTTCTCCACCTTTGTGTTTCTCCTTAATCACCTCAGTCGTGCCCATCTGGTGCTCCCCCGCCCTGTGCCTCCCTTTGTTGGGCATTGTGCATCTCCCTGGTGTCACTCCCTGCTGTCCCTGTCACCCCTGCTGCCCTGTGCCAGCTCTCAGGGCTGCTGGTGCCTCCTGGCATTTGTGCAGAGCATTTCACCCTCTGTGCCCACCCCAGAGCTCTCAGGGTGGCTGGAGGGCCCAGCTGGCACTTGCTGGGCAGTGTGGGGCAGCAGGAGGAGTCACCTGAGCTGGAACAGGCTCTGTGTCACTCACCTGGCTGCTGTCCCCATCAGTGTCAGTGCTTCCATTCCTTGTCCATCCAACACTGATGCTGTGTGTGCAGAGATATACCCAGCCCATGGCAATCCTGTCTGGTGGGCAGGATGGGCACAATCCCATCCTTGGGATCAGTTTGGAGAGGAGCAGCAGTGACAGTGCAGGGACAGTGCCATGGCAGTGTCCTGTCTGCTTTGCTCACAGTACCATCCTTGGGATGATAAGTTTGGAGAGGAGCAGCAGGGACAGTGCCTGAGGGCTCCATGGAAGGGGGAGATTGAAAATGGGAGTAGGGTTTAATCCAGCACTGGATATGGCAGAGGGCTGGCAAATCATCCAAGGTTTGTTTGCCAGTGCAGACAGGACAGTGCCTGGGGGCTCCATGGAAGGGGGAGATTGAAAATGGGAGTAAGGTTTAATCCAGCAACACAGAGGAGCTGCAAATCATCCAAGGTTTGTTTGCCAGTTGTCCAAGGTGACAGTGGGATCAGCAGGAATTGTGTGGGATGAGCCATGGGGAGAAATTGAATTAAGCCAATAATTTGGGTAAAATATGGCAAAACGTGGATAAGATTTTGTGTTAGTTTTCTCACACCACCCTTTTTCTCTGGTAAAACCTGCAAACTCTGCTCTGCTGAGCCCTGCCAGATGTGCTGGGTTGCAGCTTGAGCAGGTGGTGGGTGCCCAGGCTGGTGATGCACACAGGGCTCGGGGGACTCTGGCAAGACTGCATTTCCCAGAATGTCTGCACTCCTAAAGAAATCCCAAGTGTGGTGGTGTTCACAGGGACAAAGAAAGAGATGAGGATCTGACTCCATGCTTCAGAAGGCTGATTAATTATTTTATGATATATATTATATTAAAATTATACTAAAAGAATAGAAGAAAGGATTTCATCAGAAGGCTAGCAAGGAAAGAAGTGGAATGATAACAAAAGCTTGTGACTCTCAGAGAGTCTGAGCCAGCTCTTTGATTGGCCATTAATTAAAAACAACCACATGAGACCAATCAAAGATCTTCCTGTTGCATTCTACAGCAGAAGATAATCATTGTTTACATTTTGTTTCTGAGGCCTCTCAGTTTCTCAGGAGAAAAATCTTAGCAAAAGGATTTTTTATAAAATATCATGGCCACACCCATGTCATCATGAGAGAGAGCAAAACCTGAGTGAGAGGGAAAGCACCCAGCTCTGGGCATGGATGAGCTCACACACAGAGTTACCAGCCTCCATGAGAGGTCAGTGCCAAGAGTTGGGCTCTGCTGGGCAGAGTGGAAAAATATAAATCAGAATTCAGGGAAATGCAGAGCACCAGATCTGCCACAATGCTGAGACCTGCCCATCCTGAACTCTGATTCAGAGTGTTTGCAGCACTTAAAGAACAACTAACCACAGTCAGAGGTGTGACTAAAGAGGGCTTGTTCTCTTTTCCTAGACAGAAGCAGTTCCTTAGACGGCTCTCTGCAGGGACCAGGCCGGGGTACAAAGCGCTTTTCCCAAGACCCCCCTCCATACAGTGCTCCTCTCTCCCCCAAGGTACCAAAGAATGACCGTCACCCTTTGGAAGGTGAGCACAGCGTGTCTGTTCCCAGAGCTGCTCCAGAGCCTGTCCTGGCTGCTGCAGGCTCACACTGCCCTGGCTGCAGGGAGCTGCTTTGCTCATCCCTGCCGTGGGTTGTGCTTGGTGTTCAGAGGGGAGTGGGTGAGTGTTGGGGCTTGAGCTGCTCACAGTGACCCCAAGAAGAGTTTGAAAATCCCTTTTCCCAGCCTGGGCACTTGAAGAAGCAGTCAGAGCTCTTCGTTTCTTGGTGTCAAGGTTGTTTATTGATGCTTATCTATAAAAAATTTTCTCCTGCCCTGCCGAGGTCCATCCAGCAGGACAGTTCCAGACACTCTGCCTGCCCCCAGGGTGGTGTTATGTCTTTATACTAAAAACTACCTGTACAATATTTACAATACCTTTCCAATACCTATCACCTATGTTAGACAGTGAGCTTCTACTCTACACCAATCTAAAAGTGCCACCATCACAGCAGAAGATGGAGGCCAAGAAGGAGAAGGAGAAAGGCTGGACATGCCCTGTTCTCTCCATCTTGCCTCCTAAACCCCCATAGCAAAACCCCAAAATCTACTTTTCCACCCCATGATAACTTCATTATCCCACCTAAACTGTCATGGCTTGCAGATCCTCACCTAAGGTTGGTAATTTGCTCCATGGGTCATAATCAAACCCACAGGTGCTTTGGGCTCTGTGCCAGGGTCTCTGAGCCCTCTGCCAGGGGTCCTGGCCATCCTGGACAGCCAGAGGGATGTGCTGGGTCCTGACAGATGAGCTGCTCTGTGGTGAGCCAGGTTCCCCACACAGATGTGTCAGGCATGTGGAATGTAGCAGGAATTCCTACTAAGCCTGACAGGCATCATCTCACACTGTATAATCTGATTTAGTTTCTCTCACTGTGCATGGGATTAACAGTGCTCAAGCTGCCCAGCTGTCTCAGGCAATCTGCCCCTGGATTTGTGGATTTTTCCCTGAGGGTTTGCTGCAGCCTGTTATGCAGATGCTGATGTGCAGGAACTTGCTGCCCTTTCCCAGGATCTCACTGAAACAGCTGGGGGTTGTCACTGGCTCCCCCAGCTCAGCCACACCATTCCCATCCCACACTGCTGCTCCTTCCCAGAGTCCCTTGGATGCCACTGGTGCAGAAGCAGGAATTGCCACTTTTATTCCTCACTAAGCACAAGGACACTTAAACCCCTTCACAGCTGGGGTGCAAATCAGCAGCAGAATTCATCTTCCCAGGAAGAGGCAAAGTTTGCCCAGTTCATTTTTCATGAACTCAGTTATTTTAGCTGTGGGATCCATAGGTGACCCTTGCATGCACAGGTGGGAGATTTCCAGAAGATCCAGGCAGCTGGAGGACTCCCTGAACTGAGTAATCTTCAATAAATATCCTCCCACTTCGTACTGAACTGCAAACCCTTCCTAATGCAGACTGAAGATTTAATCTTATTAAGGCTTTTAATTAATGGATGGTGAAATCTGCCAGTGTTAGTCACAATTCTTTGCAACTGAAATCCCTGAAAAATTGCTGGAGACTCCTGGGCAGGCTCCCAGTTCAGTGGCTTCATGCTCTGTTGCTGTCCCTTTAGAATGCCCATTTCCCTGGTTTTGCTGGGTGATTTTTGTCTGTGTCCATCACTGTGTCCTGTGCTCTGCAGGATCTCTGACCCTGCCTCTAACACTGAACTTGCCCAGAGCAGCTGGGGCTGCCCCAGGATCTCTGGAAGTTTCCAATGCCAGGTGAACACTGGGGCTTGGAGCAAGCTGGGACAGTGGGAGGTGTCCCTGCCATGGCAGGGGTGGCACTGGATGGGCTTGAAGGTCCTTCCTTACCCAAATCATTCCCTGGTTTTCATGGCAGAGGTGGCACTGGATGGGCTTTAAGGTCCTTCCTAACCCAAATCATTCCATGGTTCTCATGGCAGAGGTGGCACTGGATGGGCTTGAAGGTCCTTCCCAACCCAAACCATCCCCTGGCTCTCTGGTGGACAGTTTCTAGTGGGCTCCTTCTCTGCAGTGATTAAAACTGTGCATTTGTCACAGCAGTGCCACCCACCACATCATCTATTCCAGCATCTAGACAGGTCAGAAACTGTCCCCAGAGTCCCCTTCTGTTCCTCACCTCCAGATGGGTGCTCCTTGATTCCCCTCTGAGGCATCAGCCACTCAATTTGGGTAACTGCTGGCACTGCCCAGCCCTTCCTCTTCCCCCAGCAGGTGGGACAGGCAGTGTTCAGCCTGATCTTGGAGAAATGGATTGCTCCAAAGGTTCAGATGCTTTGGTTGGGTGGTGATTGTTGTCCACTCTGTATTGTCAGTGAAGACAGAAGGCTTCCATAATGGGTAATTCCAAGGAGGAGCCTTCATTAGGTTTCTTCAAGATTGATTCTCAGTCTGCTTCAGAGTCTGTTCAGTTATCCCTTGGCCTTTGAGTGGGTTGTGCCATCTGGATGCCAGAATTCTCCAGGCTCTTCCAGAAAAACAGACAAGTGGGCAGGAAGTGTGGCTGCATGTGAGGGGTGATCCTGCAGCAGCTTGGTCTTGTTCAGTTCTTCATCCAGGCAGGGAGAAATGAGGTGCAAATTCCATCTAGAAATTCCTTCTTATCCCACAGCTAAAAGCTGGAATGAATACATCCTCTTCCTCCACCATGAAATTTATGTTCAGGCAGGAATATTTGCATTTCAGAGGATATATTTTAAGAATATGCCCCTGAAATACTCAGATATTGAGTATTTCTTGAGCAAGGTACATCTTCTCATGGGAATGTACTCTGTCTCACACAGCAGCTCCTGAGCACATCCCACTTTGCCATGTGCAAGGCTGTGAGCAGCAGTGGGACATCTCCATTCACTCTGCATTTGGCAAGAAGCAGAGACATGAGGAAGGGATCTCACATATTACATTGTTTTTGCTCTTGCATCCAGTGGAGTTTGTGTGGCTTTTTGCTGAAACCCTGCAGTCCCAGCACAGTGGGGACCTGCCTTCACAGCCCATCACTTGCTGGAAGCAGTGGGTGTTCAGGAGTAGTGCAAATCACATTTGTGCTTGTGGCCAAACTCCCATGTTTTAGCAGTAAAGTGACACTGTTGAGTCTATAGCACTATTTGTTTAATTAAACTTTAATTATCTGCTCCCTGCCTCTCAACCACTAATTGTGGCATGTTTCCCTACAATGTGCCAACTGCCAGCCTTTAGTTAAATCTAACAGTGTGTGTAAGGAGCTCTGCCTGAGGATCTGCCACCTCCTCCTCCCACTCTGTTATCAAGGGTGAAGGATCCTGGGTGTTGTCTGAGTGCAGTTGTGCAGGAGTGTCTCATCTACAGATGATTCCCAGGGCAGCAATCATTCCCCTCTTGTCCTTCTCCCTTCCCTGGAGGTATCATTCATTCAGCAGTTCCCTGTGTACTTGTATTTTTGTATTTTTAGGAAAACCCTCAATCCCTCTTGCACTGAGCCTGCTGCAGAGTTACAGCCCAAGCAGGCACTGCCCTGTGCAGGGTGAGGGAACCTGGGGATCACTGTGTGCCTTCAGTTTTAGCTCCTGGGCAAAAGCACATCGCGCCCCCAGGGCTTCACCTGTGGCCCTTGGTGTGTGATTACAGCTGTGAGAACAGGATCACATTTTTGTGTTTGCAGAATGCATCACAGCACACTCCTGTCATGATAGTGCTCATTGTTGAGTGAAATCATTTCTGAGGGTGAGTTCTGGATCCTCAGGAATCTGTGCATGTGCTCTCCCAAACTGGGCCCTGAAATTCCTTCTGCTGACACCAATCCCTGCTGAGAGCTGGGGTTTTGGGGAGCACTCAGACACGTGTTTGTGTGACCCAGCACATCTGGGTGAGTGTCCCAGGACCTCCTGGCCAGCTGCAGCTCTGTGTCACCCCAGAAGGTGCTGGGGTTCCTTGGAGGGCTGAGATGCACAGCTTGGACCTGTTGCCATGCCCACAGCCACTGGGGGCTGTGCCCACTGACCCTCTCCTGCCCTGTCCTTCCCTGGCAGTCAGAGCCCTCCCCCAGATGTTTCATGGGAAAAGTTTTGGGGTTTAAACAGAACTGTCCTCTTTGAGGAGTGTGAAAAATTTTAATCACTTGGTTTTAAAATTTTAAAAGTTTAATAGTAATAAAATGGTTATAAAAATAGTAATACAATTAGAGTAATAATAATTTGGACAATTTGAATTAGGACAATATGAGACAATAGAGACAAACAGTTATGGACATCTGGGTACCTTTTTCTGGGCAGCACAAGCCTGAAAAAAGGACCCACATTAACAAAGGATTAACCCTTAAAAGGAATAACCTGTTGCATATTCATACATCTTATACATGATACATAAATTCCATTCAAATACAGGATTCTCTCTGGTCAGTGTCAGCTTCTTCTAATTCTAACAGCACCTTTGAGGCAGGAAGAAGTTCATTTCCTCTGATCAGAGGGCAATAAATTCTCTCTCTCTGAAAGATTCAGGTGTCCTGTGGCTGCTATCTTGCTGTTAGTCCTTTCTTTAAAAAAAAAATATCTTACATAGCATTGTTTCTATTTTAACATTTTTTATAACCTAGGACTTATATTTACCACACTACTTAAGAGAATTAATACAGCATTACTCTCTAACACAACACATACAATATTCATTTGAATATTTGCAAAAAGCCAATCATAAAATACATGCATTTTTCACAAGGAGGAGACCAAATGTAGTTTGAAGCAGCTGCAGTGGAACCCCACTGGTGTGACAGCCACCAATGGGTCTGGCTGGGCAGGGATCTCCACCAGGCCAGGCCAGGGCAGGCAGCTCTGCTTTGCATCCAGTCTGGGGCCGAAATGCAATGCTGGGAGTGCAGGAGGGGTTTGAGGTTATTCAGGAATAGTCAAGAGTCAGCAAAGCATTTTTTATGCAGAGGAGAACACACCTGTCCATGCAGGAGGAGAGTGACAAGAGGGCCAGCCCAGCACAGGTCACAGGGCTAACAGTCCACACCAGTTTGTACAGGAGATTTTAAGGCTGTGCTGCTGTTTCTGGGCATATCCCAGAGACCTAAAAGCAAACAAAGGCAGCAGTGCCTCAAGTGCAGAGTGGCAAAGCCCTGGGGAGGGAGCAGCAATTTCCGAGTGATAACCCCACACCAGGCTGGCCAGCAGGCACACAAGGGTGTTCCCATTTCATGTCCTTACAGTGTGAAGCCCTGGCAGGTCAGGGCTGTGTGACAGTGCTCACAGGGGTTCTTGGATGAGGGAAGAGATGAGGATCTGACTCCATGTTTCAGAAGGCTGATCTATTATTTTATTATATATATTACATTAAAACTATACTAAAAGAATAGAATAAAGGATTTCATCAGAAGGCTGGCTAAGCTAAGAATAGCAAAGAATGATAGCAAAAGCTTCTGTCTCAGACACAGAGTCTGAGCCAGCTGACTGTGATTGGCCATTAACTAAAAACAACCACATGAGACCAATCACAGATGCGCCTGTTGCATTCCACAGCAGCAGATAATCAATGTTTACATTTTGTTCCTGAGCCCTATCAGCTTCTCAGGAGGAAAAATCCTAAGGAAAGGATTTTCCATAAAAGATGTCTGTGACTGCAGATCTTGCTGCCTCAGCCAGTGCAGCCAGTCACCCTGCACAGCCTCCTCAGCCCCTCCATTCCAGCAGTGCCATGGACAGCTGCAAATTCAGGGCATTTCTGGAGAAGATGAGGAAGCCACCATTGCTCTGGGGAGGGTGTTAGAGGCCCAGGCCCTCCTGTGCATGTTCCAGTACAGGGAATTGGCCACTGATGTGGTTAGGCTGGAAAAGAACCCAGCAGGAGCCCAGGAGGGATGAGCAGCTCATCACCAGCTTTTAGGGCAGCTCCTGGTTGTTTTTGGGGCCAGAGGAGCAGCAGAGTGTGGGAGCATTGCCTGGCCCTGATGGCACAGCTCCCTCCCGCTCTGCGTGTGTCTGCCCCCCCATGCCAAGCAGCAGAGCCATGCCCTTGGTGAGGTGCATTGTGTGACCCCTCAGGGAGCATCCCCTCCCCTTCTGTTCAGGCCTGGCCGTGAATTCTGTGTCCATTGGTGTCCTGTTTAGGGCAAATTTGGGAGAGACTCTCCAAAGGGGCCGCTTCAGAAAGCAAACCCACACAGCCCCTGCCCCCAGCTGGGTCAGGAAGGATTCCTTGGAGAGAAGTGGAAAGAACCTGTTTATTTAACAGGCACAGCACCCCCAGCACACAAAATGAACAATACCAGGTGACACCACTCTGTCACCGCTCTGACAAAGATGACAAATTCAGAAAGTCTCTCTGGGGGTGGTCGCTCTGTTCTCAGTCCCTCCTGTGCTGGGGCAGCTGCTGCCCAGAGTAGGCCCCACTAGGCCCAAGGTGCAAACTTGGTGTTCCCAGGGCCCAGCCCGGAGCAGGTTTGAGTAGGTCCAAAAAAGGGAAAGGAGAAACAGCGCAGGGAGAATCTGGACTGCTTAGCTAAACTAACTGATGAGCAGGAGCAAAAAGCAAGAGCAAAGCAGGAGCAAAGCAAAAAGCAAAGCAAAAAGCAAAAGCAGCACCATGTACTGCCCTGTCTGTGTGTCCCACCAGCCGTGGGGGAGCGGCTGAGAGCAAAACCAAAACAAAACATTCGCTCTGCAGAGCCAGTCTGGAAGGCACAGAACATGATATCCAGCATGAACAGAACACAGGAATGGGGATACAGCATCATAACCTCACCCCAGGACAATTGGCATCCAGAGGGGACAGCCCTGCCCATCCCAGGGATGTTCCTGCTGGGGTGTCCAGAGGGCCCAGGGCAGTCAGGCCTCAGGGCTGGTGGGGGCATGAGCAGAGTAGCTGAAAAAGGAGCTGCTGCTCTATCTGGGGCCATTGTCACTACACTGGTTAGACTGGCACTGGCAGATGGTGGCACCATTGGCAGCTGGTGAATTCCAGGGCTGTGGCAGGGCCTGGTTTGATCCCTGTGCTGGGTTGAGGGATCTGTGCTGGGTTGGACCCAGCGATGCTGCTGTGGCTCTGCCCCACATGGAGTGTGGCCGTGCCGTTCAGGTGCACTAACTGCAGCTTGCTGCATTCCAGGTGAAACCTTTGTCCTGGCAGATGGCCTCCCAGGGCCCTTAGAGCCTCGCCTGGACCCCATGGACTCTGCCTTGAACTCTGTCAGTTCATCCAGCCACAGCAGGAGCTCCAGAGACTTTCGCCTGCCGGGATACAGGCACCTGCAGCAGCCCTGCAGCCTCAGCCAGGGCAGCAGCTCTGCCCTGCGCAGGCTGAGCTCTGGGGGTAAGAGCTCACACAGCCCCGAGCTGTGCATGGGGCAGTGAAGGGCTGGGCTGACTCCAGTCTCACCTCTCTGACTGCAGCCAGTACCACAGGCTGGGCTCTGTTAGGTGTGATGGCACCTGGCAGTGTGGACAGGTGACATTTCTGCTTTGGCAGTGGGGAGAAAGGAACAGGCAGGAGCTGAACTGTGTCCAAGTGATAAATGGGTGTCTGAGTCCACAAGGATGGACTGGGAATGGCTGGGGAGTCAAAAGTTGCCTGGTGGGGCTGGGAGGATGGGCAGATGCATGAGTGGCATCTCTCTGTGTGGGGGAAGAGGGGCAGGAGAGCTGAACTGCTCATTGCAGCGTGTGGGGTTGCAAATAATGTCATTTTAGGTGCATGGCATCAGTAAAAGCCTCTGAAAAGCTCAGGCTGCTGCCTCCCACAGATTTTCAGGCAGAGCTAAGACAAGGGGCTGTGCATGGTGGGAGCTCAGGCTGGGTGGTCACCTGTGGGTTCAATCCATCAGAAGATGCAGCCAGTGAAAACATAAACCAGCTTTGCCACATTAAATGTGTTAAAAGTGTTGGGAGAGACATGGGAATGGCAGGGGATGTTCTGCTGTGGTGGGAAGTGTCTGCCCATGGACAGGGAGGAGTGGGAGCTGGGGCCAAACAAGGGGAGTGGGGCTCGAGAGAGGGGACCAGGGCTCAGGCTGTCCTGAAAAGTCAGACCTAAAGAGGAGGAGTAAGGTTTGGGTGCCAGACCTGAACCACAGGAATCTGGGGCATCCCTTGCTGTGTCTCTGCCGTGCTGTGGAGAGGAGCTGAGTGGGGGGCTGAGGGCAGTGGCTGGGGCGGTGCCAGGGAGCCCCAGTGACAGAGCTGTGCCTTCCCCAGGCTCGGACAGGTACCCGGGCTCCAGGGACAGCTCCAGGGACAGCTCCCGGCTCAGCAGCCGCAACCCCTCGGCCTGGACGGTGGAGGAGGTGATGCAGTTCATCCGCGAGGCCGACCCGCAGCTGGGCCCCCACGCTGACCTCTTCCGAAAACACGTGAGTGGGCAGAGCTCTGGGTGTGTGTTTGGGGTTCATGTACAGAGCTGTGTGTGTGTTTGGGGTTTGTGTACAAAACTCTGTGTGTTTGGGGTTCATGTACAGAGCTCTGTGTGTGTTTGGGGTTCATGTGCAGAGCTCTGGGTGTGTTTGGGGTTCATGTACAGAATTCTGTGTGTTTGGGGTTCATGTGCAGAGCTCTGTGTGTTTGGGGTTTGTGTACAGAGCTGTGTGTGTGTTTGGGGTTCATGTACAGAGCTGTGTGTATGTTTGG